CTGGCTACCTACGAGTGTTAGCTCTCGCACTGATCTAACCTAGGGTGATCACATCGGGGCATGCGTAGCGAAAATGCTTGGTTGGTACCTGCGACAAGTGGTGAGAAGATATTCCTGCAGTTACTTAAGGTTAGCTAGTAACCATATTGTCCTAATAGCTAAATAGGTAGTCTGCCGATTAGTAATGATGATTGTACACAGGGGTTTTCGGAACCTACAACGCCATGTATCTCGAAGGTTGCTAACAATCGATCGATGGTTAATATTTGATAGGTATTATGCGAGGGTTTTCATCCATCGCTTCTGACTACGGTGGTGGTATTTGATAACAGAACTCTGAACCCGTACATAATAAGCATATAATAGCGACCAGCAGTATGTTTATGTTTATCTATGCCGTAATCGAAAGATCCTGTTCTTCGCGGCGTTTCAAAACGTCGTATTAGACACCCATCTCTGAGAGCACTTCCTTGTCGAGATAAATATATCCGCCCCATTTTGTTCTTCTCTGGCTTCTGTCGGCTCGGTCCCACCCGATCGCGTCCGGTTTGGCGATCCTTTAAACATAGCTACCACTAGGCTAGCTCGCTAGGCACGCTCGGCACACACTCGAGGCACTATTCCAGAATGTCGTATCGAGCAACACTACAGAAGCTGCGGCATCCATGCTTGGCGCCGGCCCTTCCACGTCGGACTGGCATAGTACAGAGACTACTTATAATCCTTTGGCTTTTCCAGACAGCAGACCTCGCTTATCTACAACATTCTGAGTTCGAATACCGCAAATTGATCAATTTGGTCGTGGCCCTCGGCAGATGATCTCATCCACATCGCTAATATCTCCTAATACATGGCCCGGACCGAGGCCGAATTATAGCTCATGGGATACCGGAGACCAGTCGATTAGGTTGGGGCATCTTGCCTCTGGCTTTGGAGATGGTCCGAGGTCTGTTGTATTGAACGGTGAATGGCCAGAGCTCTTGTGGCGCATGCATGTACAAGCGTGGTCAATCGATGAACATGCGCACATGTGTACTGTACTATAAGTTCCTTTGTATAAGTCTTCTAAGTGACACCCCCCAAGTTTCCACGGTTTCACTGCAGCTGCACGCATAGGTACAGAAGATAAGAGTAAGCAGCAAAAAGACCTTGATGGATTTGTACGCGATACTGCGACAAAGAAGAAGTCCTCTGCATGCATGTTGCGACTTGAGTCACCGTTGTTGTGGCTGGCGCCTCAGTCTCACCCTCGTGGGTGAAACACCCAGCAACGTGGCGTCGTGGTTGCATGGCACAGCCCGTGTCCAGCACGTGCTGCTACCTAGTAAGTCGGGCTAGAACCTTTATCTAAGTCAAGTTGCTAGCGAAATCATACAGTAGATGTAAAGGGTAGCTGACTTGACGATCATCGTTCAAGAGCTTCGAGGATCTTGTCCATGCTTGTGTACGTACTGTACAGCGAGTGATGGTTCGTCTTGTGTCACGGGGAGATCCTTCGATTTACAAGAGGTTGTTTCATGTTCTGCTGTGTAATGCCACTGTAGATGGGATCTTGTATGTCTGCCTGCTCCTTTAAGGGCAGGAGAGAGCTCTCATAGGAGGATCTGTAGACTTTTTACTTAGCTGGGCAGGTAGATAAGCCATGGCGTATTCTGTTATTGTCAGCAGCTGATTGGCCTGGTCATCCATTATGATAAAGGTGTTTTCGAACCTGCCCATCAACATATTTGAGAGGGCTGAGTATGTGAGTAAGGAGAACTGACTACCTAGATATTGTAATCAAGGTATTTTTTGTCATAGTTCTGGAAGGCTGCACATGCAGCCTGAGACTGCTTGGGCAGTTCCCAAGCACTATGCGACGGTGGGTTTCACATATTTCAGCAGCCTTTGTGAGATAAACTGTAGGCCCGGGTGACGCGACACACGTTTCCACGAATGCAGTACCATGTAACATCTCAAACCCTGCTAATGATTCAATGTGCCTCGCAGCAAGTTATCGTCTGCGCGACATGAGTTATGCACAATGACGATCTATCTAGACTCTACTTGGATATATACATGCAGCGCTCGTCCTCCTTCATGCTATGGAATCCAACGCAGCACGATGCTATGGTATCATTATCATTAGATCAACCCACGGCTCTCCCCCCCCGCCCTTTCCCCCCTTCCCCGTCATCTTCATCCTACCAATCCGCCTTGGGTATATGCGCTTCTATGCAATTAAAACATCATCACAGCCCCTCTGCCGAAGGGCTGGGCCGCCGTAGAGGGTGGGCCTCGGTATTAAAGATGTACTCATCCAGGTGTATCAGATCTGGCGATGAGAATATTAGGTAGAAATATCGCAGAGTCTCGGCCAGCCAGAAACTCTTAAGTAAGTGTCAGCTATAAGTAAGCTGTGTGAAGGGGAGAGCAGAAGTAGTTGACGAACCTCCATCGAATCATCTTTCTTGGTAGCGGTCTCCCTAACAGACTCAATAGACGAGAACGCGAGGTCTGTCTCGGTAGCCTTACGGATAGCCTGGAACATCCTCCAGGCCATCTCCTGATACTCCTGATCGCCTGTCATCCGGTACATAAGGAAGACGCTCTCGATAGCCTCGGGCCTGAGCAGGTAGCGGGCATCGGGCACGTTACGGAAGCCGCGTGGCAACGACGAGCTGCCGACAACCTCCCATTCCTCTTGGTTCCATTCGCACGGCTCCAGGCTCTCGCACTTCAGCATGCTGAAGATTTCGGGCATGACGCCGGATGGCATGGAATCGTACGCCCATACACAGCCCTTGGTCAGCTTCTCGCCGATGGCGACGTGCTCTGGGATCTGGAACAGCTTGCCACCGAGCCCGAACATGCCACCAGCGAAGCATGTGAGATGCTGGGACTGGGCAGTCAGGGTCGGCCCCGATGTGATCCAGACATTGCCGGAAAACAGAATATCCGCTTGATCCGGCAGTTTGGGCCGGTATAGCAGATTCTCAATAATAGTGTCCATCGCGCCGCGATAGAGCTTCTCATACACGGGTTCCAGCCCGCCCAGCAGCGCGAAAGTCTTGGGCAGGTACTCATATAAACTATCGGCGAGTGCGCCTATAGTGAAGCTCATGTCGTAGTTTAGCTCTTTATCGCGTAGATTGAGATAGGTAGGCCACATCCCGGGGAGATTTGTCCGGTTCTGCCAGTCGTCTAGAACCTGCGTCACCCTATTAATCGCGTCGTAGTACTTATTGTCGCCCGTTAGTTGCGACAGGCGGGAGAATTCGAGGGAGGACGAAGCCACGGCAGCTGAGGCGTCATGGGTACCAGCCAGCTGCTTGCCCGTCTTGGCATCTTGGAAATTCAACCAGAATCCAGGCATGCGATTCGGAGTATCGTATGCCATGTAGAGCATGTCGCCAAGCTCGACCGCCTTCTCCAGCAGGGCCGTCTCCTTGCTGAGATCGTAGGCACCAAGCAAGCCGCCGAGGTGTCGGATGGTGGTTTCAAAATAGTTGCATGATGTGTCTTGTGACCGGGAATAGTCTATAGTGACGGCGGCGGCGGCGGCCTCGTAGAAGTCGTCCTTGAGGTCCATGATCCAGAGAGTTGACAGGGAATCGACGAGAGTGGCACCCCATCCGCCAAAGCCTGGAACATCGTTGCCCTTGCCGGAGACGGGTTTGACCTCGTCATAACCGAAGCCGACGCTCTTGTAGCTCCTCCAGCTCTTCACCATGGCATCCTTCACCTCGCTGCGCCGCGATTCCAAGACCGACTCTCGCGCAACGCCGGCGGGGCTCTTGTCCTCCTTGAACTCATACTGCACCGGGGGCAGCGATCGGGGCCGACCGGTCGGCAATGGCGTATACTCGGACACGGGAAAGTAGATCTCGGACCTGGACCAGTCGTAGCGCTGGCGCACGAAGGTGAAGCCCCAGAGGACGTCGTGGCTCTCGGGAACGAGGCCGACGAGCAGGTACAGCAGCACGATCAGCGACAGGACGACAGCAACGCGCGACTTGCGACGGAGGATAGGCGTCATGATATCGAGCGGCGGGTGGGTGCGGACATGCGATGCGACATCTTCGGCCAGCATTGGGAAGGACACGGCCGGTGGTGGAATCCTCTTCAGACCACCCCGGCGCACACCTCCCGGTGGAGGTTCCTGTTCGTCCTGTTCGTATGGACACGCGTGCAGGCTGCGTGTGCTCGGGCGTCTTCGTTTTATCGTTGTCGCAGAAGTCGTCCCACACTGCCGTAGGGGATGCTCGGAAGCACAACTCGCCAGCGCATCGATGCGGAAGAGAGAGATATTACAACTAAGAATTATGTATGTCTGTGTGGAGGATGTGCTTGGGAATGAGAACAACTCGAGGTGGGCGACACCGTGAGGGTAGTAATACGATAAACCATGAAACCATCGTCAAGCCAAGAAGGAGAAAGCTGGGGAAGGAGGGAATGGCAGCAGCTGGTTGGGTGCAAGGCGCGGGAACAATGGACCAGATTACATTGCTGACAGGGCATTTTAATTATCCCATGTCCTGTTCAAGTACCTTCACTGCCATACTTTGCGGGGAAGGTACAGGCCTGGCTTGGAGGCCCCTGCAGATCCCCGGATAGGTCGGGCAAGCTGCAAGACATGGACCTTACGAACCCCCCCAAAAAAAACCAGTTCAGCCATCAAACAGTAAGAAAAGAGACAAAATAAAAACATATATGCAATCAACCGTTATAGTAAGCGCAGCATGCCATAGTTTGGCATGTTGAGATTCTCTTCTAGCAGTATTTAGCACTTGGAACGCAACGACGTTCATCCGGATGGCAACTTGTTCAAACAGGGGCGAATGGTCTAGGGGTATGATACTCCCTTCGCATCGAGTATTATCTCGTAATGAGTATGGGAGGGGTCCGGGGTTCAATTCCCCGTTCGTCCATGATGTTTTACTATTTTAATCATTAATATTTACTTATTATCTATTACTAATTAATAAGTAAATATTAATGATTAAAATAGTAAAACATCATGGACGAACGGGGAATTGAACCCCGGACCCCTCCCATACTCATTACGAGATAATACTCGATGCGAAGGGAGTATCATACCCCTAGACCATTCGCCCCTGTTTGAACAAGTTGCCATCCGGATGAACGTCGTTGCGTTCCAAGTGCTAAATACTGCTAGAAGAGAATCTCAACATGCCAAACTATGGCATGCTGCGCTTACTATAACGGTTGATTGCATATATGTTTTTATTTTGTCTCTTTTCTTACTGTTTGATGGCTGAACTGGTTTTTTTTGGGGGGGTTCGTAAGGTCCATGTCTTGCAGCTTGCCCGACCTATCCGGGGATCTGCAGGGGCCTCCAAGCCAGGCCTGTACCTTCCCCGCAAAGTATGGCAGTGAAGGTACTTGAACAGGACATGGGATAATTAAAATGCCCTGTCAGCAATGTAATCTGGTCCATTGTTCCCGCGCCTTGCACCCAACCAGCTGCTGCCATTCCCTCCTTCCCCAGCTTTCTCCTTCTTGGCTTGACGATGGTTTCATGGTTTATCGTATTACTACCCTCACGGTGTCGCCCACCTCGAGTTGTTCTCATTCCCAAGCACATCCTCCACACAGACATACATAATTCTTAGTTGTAATATCTCTCTCTTCCGCATCGATGCGCTGGCGAGTTGTGCTTCCGAGCATCCCCTACGGCAGTGTGGGACGACTTCTGCGACAACGATAAAACGAAGACGCCCGAGCACACGCAGCCTGCACGCGTGTCCATACGAACAGGACGAACAGGAACCTCCACCGGGAGGTGTGCGCCGGGGTGGTCTGAAGAGGATTCCACCACCGGCCGTGTCCTTCCCAATGCTGGCCGAAGATGTCGCATCGCATGTCCGCACCCACCCGCCGCTCGATATCATGACGCCTATCCTCCGTCGCAAGTCGCGCGTTGCTGTCGTCCTGTCGCTGATCGTGCTGCTGTACCTGCTCGTCGGCCTCGTTCCCGAGAGCCACGACGTCCTCTGGGGCTTCACCTTCGTGCGCCAGCGCTACGACTGGTCCAGGTCCGAGATCTACTTTCCCGTGTCCGAGTATACGCCATTGCCGACCGGTCGGCCCCGATCGCTGCCCCCGGTGCAGTATGAGTTCAAGGAGGACAAGAGCCCCGCCGGCGTTGCGCGAGAGTCGGTCTTGGAATCGCGGCGCAGCGAGGTGAAGGATGCCATGGTGAAGAGCTGGAGGAGCTACAAGAGCGTCGGCTTCGGTTATGACGAGGTCAAACCCGTCTCCGGCAAGGGCAACGATGTTCCAGGCTTTGGCGGATGGGGTGCCACTCTCGTCGATTCCCTGTCAACTCTCTGGATCATGGACCTCAAGGACGACTTCTACGAGGCCGCCGCCGCCGCCGTCACTATAGACTATTCCCGGTCACAAGACACATCATGCAACTATTTTGAAACCACCATCCGACACCTCGGCGGCTTGCTTGGTGCCTACGATCTCAGCAAGGAGACGGCCCTGCTGGAGAAGGCGGTCGAGCTTGGCGACATGCTCTACATGGCATACGATACTCCGAATCGCATGCCTGGATTCTGGTTGAATTTCCAAGATGCCAAGACGGGCAAGCAGCTGGCTGGTACCCATGACGCCTCAGCTGCCGTGGCTTCGTCCTCCCTCGAATTCTCCCGCCTGTCGCAACTAACGGGCGACAATAAGTACTACGACGCGATTAATAGGGTGACGCAGGTTCTAGACGACTGGCAGAACCGGACAAATCTCCCCGGGATGTGGCCTACCTATCTCAATCTACGCGATAAAGAGCTAAACTACGACATGAGCTTCACTATAGGCGCACTCGCCGATAGTTTATATGAGTACCTGCCCAAGACTTTCGCGCTGCTGGGCGGGCTGGAACCCGTGTATGAGAAGCTCTATCGCGGCGCGATGGACACTATTATTGAGAATCTGCTATACCGGCCCAAACTGCCGGATCAAGCGGATATTCTGTTTTCCGGCAATGTCTGGATCACATCGGGGCCGACCCTGACTGCCCAGTCCCAGCATCTCACATGCTTCGCTGGTGGCATGTTCGGGCTCGGTGGCAAGCTGTTCCAGATCCCAGAGCACGTCGCCATCGGCGAGAAGCTGACCAAGGGCTGTGTATGGGCGTACGATTCCATGCCATCCGGCGTCATGCCCGAAATCTTCAGCATGCTGAAGTGCGAGAGCCTGGAGCCGTGCGAATGGAACCAAGAGGAATGGGAGGTTGTCGGCAGCTCGTCGTTGCCACGCGGCTTCCGTAACGTGCCCGATGCCCGCTACCTGCTCAGGCCCGAGGCTATCGAGAGCGTCTTCCTTATGTACCGGATGACAGGCGATCAGGAGTATCAGGAGATGGCCTGGAGGATGTTCCAGGCTATCCGTAAGGCTACCGAGACAGACCTCGCGTTCTCGTCTATTGAGTCTGTTAGGGAGACCGCTACCAAGAAAGATGATTCGATGGAGGTTCGTCAACTACTTCTGCTCTCCCCTTCACACAGCTTACTTATAGCTGACACTTACTTAAGAGTTTCTGGCTGGCCGAGACTCTGCGATATTTCTACCTAATATTCTCATCGCCAGATCTGATACACCTGGATGAGTACATCTTTAATACCGAGGCCCACCCTCTACGGCGGCCCAGCCCTTCGGCAGAGGGGCTGTGATGATGTTTTAATTGCATAGAAGCGCATATACCCAAGGCGGATTGGTAGGATGAAGATGACGGGGAAGGGGGGAAAGGGCGGGGGGGGAGAGCCGTGGGTTGATCTAATGATAATGATACCATAGCATCGTGCTGCGTTGGATTCCATAGCATGAAGGAGGACGAGCGCTGCATGTATATATCCAAGTAGAGTCTAGATAGATCGTCATTGTGCATAACTCATGTCGCGCAGACGATAACTTGCTGCGAGGCACATTGAATCATTAGCAGGGTTTGAGATGTTACATGGTACTGCATTCGTGGAAACGTGTGTCGCGTCACCCGGGCCTACAGTTTATCTCACAAAGGCTGCTGAAATATGTGAAACCCACCGTCGCATAGTGCTTGGGAACTGCCCAAGCAGTCTCAGGCTGCATGTGCAGCCTTCCAGAACTATGACAAAAAATACCTTGATTACAATATCTAGGTAGTCAGTTCTCCTTACTCACATACTCAGCCCTCTCAAATATGTTGATGGGCAGGTTCGAAAACACCTTTATCATAATGGATGACCAGGCCAATCAGCTGCTGACAATAACAGAATACGCCATGGCTTATCTACCTGCCCAGCTAAGTAAAAAGTCTACAGATCCTCCTATGAGAGCTCTCTCCTGCCCTTAAAGGAGCAGGCAGACATACAAGATCCCATCTACAGTGGCATTACACAGCAGAACATGAAACAACCTCTTGTAAATCGAAGGATCTCCCCGTGACACAAGACGAACCATCACTCGCTGTACAGTACGTACACAAGCATGGACAAGATCCTCGAAGCTCTTGAACGATGATCGTCAAGTCAGCTACCCTTTACATCTACTGTATGATTTCGCTAGCAACTTGACTTAGATAAAGGTTCTAGCCCGACTTACTAGGTAGCAGCACGTGCTGGACACGGGCTGTGCCATGCAACCACGACGCCACGTTGCTGGGTGTTTCACCCACGAGGGTGAGACTGAGGCGCCAGCCACAACAACGGTGACTCAAGTCGCAACATGCATGCAGAGGACTTCTTCTTTGTCGCAGTATCGCGTACAAATCCATCAAGGTCTTTTTGCTGCTTACTCTTATCTTCTGTACCTATGCGTGCAGCTGCAGTGAAACCGTGGAAACTTGGGGGGTGTCACTTAGAAGACTTATACAAAGGAACTTATAGTACAGTACACATGTGCGCATGTTCATCGATTGACCACGCTTGTACATGCATGCGCCACAAGAGCTCTGGCCATTCACCGTTCAATACAACAGACCTCGGACCATCTCCAAAGCCAGAGGCAAGATGCCCCAACCTAATCGACTGGTCTCCGGTATCCCATGAGCTATAATTCGGCCTCGGTCCGGGCCATGTATTAGGAGATATTAGCGATGTGGATGAGATCATCTGCCGAGGGCCACGACCAAATTGATCAATTTGCGGTATTCGAACTCAGAATGTTGTAGATAAGCGAGGTCTGCTGTCTGGAAAAGCCAAAGGATTATAAGTAGTCTCTGTACTATGCCAGTCCGACGTGGAAGGGCCGGCGCCAAGCATGGATGCCGCAGCTTCTGTAGTGTTGCTCGATACGACATTCTGGAATAGTGCCTCGAGTGTGTGCCGAGCGTGCCTAGCGAGCTAGCCTAGTGGTAGCTATGTTTAAAGGATCGCCAAACCGGACGCGATCGGGTGGGACCGAGCCGACAGAAGCCAGAGAAGAACAAAATGGGGCGGATATATTTATCTCGACAAGGAAGTGCTCTCAGAGATGGGTGTCTAATACGACGTTTTGAAACGCCGCGAAGAACAGGATCTTTCGATTACGGCATAGATAAACATAAACATACTGCTGGTCGCTATTATATGCTTATTATGTACGGGTTCAGAGTTCTGTTATCAAATACCACCACCGTAGTCAGAAGCGATGGATGAAAACCCTCGCATAATACCTATCAAATATTAACCATCGATCGATTGTTAGCAACCTTCGAGATACATGGCGTTGTAGGTTCCGAAAACCCCTGTGTACAATCATCATTACTAATCGGCAGACTACCTATTTAGCTATTAGGACAATATGGTTACTAGCTAACCTTAAGTAACTGCAGGAATATCTTCTCACCACTTGTCGCAGGTACCAACCAAGCATTTTCGCTACGCATGCCCCGATGTGATCACCCTAGGTTAGATCAGTGCGAGAGCTAACACTCGTAGGTAGCCAGTAGTTCCAGAACAGAACATCTAACCTTAGGTGGATGAGGTTGCTACGAGTATAACTGACGTCAACACACTAAGTGCACTAAACACGATAATCAGAGACGATATTTACGTGCGATTTTGGATTGTAGAAACGGCTGTCAAGCTTCATGACATGGGCATAGGGTGAAGAGCAAATTCGCGCATTCGAT